GGAGAATCAAATGGAAGAGACAATGGACAATGGAATGGAAGCTGGGAGAATATAGTGATTTAAGGAACGCAATTTCAGTACTGTTGTTGAGAAACCATATTGATTACAATACTGAGCTGACGTCAATATTGCTTGTTTGTAGTATTGGATATATATATATACACATACATGTATATATATATATAACCCTAAAACCCTAAACCCCTAAACCCTAAACCCCTAAACCCTGGACCCTAAAACCCTAAACCCCTAAACCCTAAACCCCTAAACCCTAAACCCTATATGTCAATTATGGTAACTTAATTTCAGCTCCTTAACAACTAATCAGCCTGCTGGCTAGAGGAGGGCTGCAAGGGCTTCATTCCAAACCTGAGCGGTTTTTGCAGGGCTGTACTTCGAGGGTCAGGGGGACTTAGTAAGTAGGTTAATAATAGATCATGGAAAAGAAAATGGAAACAACTATAGTATTTGGGGTTTAGGGTTTAGGGTCAGGGGGACTTAGTAAGTAGGTTAATAATAGAGATATTTAGGGTTACTATATGGGTTATAGGGGTTATTAACCTACTTACTAAGTCCCCTTGACCCTCCAAGTACGGCTTAGGGCTTAGGGTTTAAGGTTTACGGGTGTAGGCTTTAGGGTTTAGCATTTTAGGGTTTAGGGTTTTGGGCTTAGGGTTAACAATTAAGGGCCCCTGGCCTAGGGTTTACGCTTAAATTTAGGGTCCAGGGTTTGGGGTTTTGGCCTTTGGAGCTTCGGGGTTGATAAAGGGCTTGCAAAAGCCGTACCGAGGGTTGCTGCACGGCTTGAACAGGCGAGTTTTATCGCTGCTGCGGCTAGGTCCTGGGATTCAATTGTTCAACTGCGATGGCTGCTTCTCCAAATGTAGGTTCCCCTTTTTTGGATGTCCTCTCAAGGGACCTGACTGTTGAGAAAGACTCGTTGTGAAAATACAAACTGCAAAAAATCTTCAAAACTGAACCAGGAACGTACCTCCCGTGTTGACAATCAGCACCCTTCTCTTCTCTTTGCCACCAGCCAGGGAGATGTGCGCCGGGTGATCTTCCATTGGCTGCCAGTTGTCTGGAACAAGAAGCCACTGGCCCTGCCATGCTGTAAGCACCAGCACGCCACCCAACACCACATGCTGCCAGGAAGGACGGCTGGCCATGAGACAATCTACGTGAAGCTAAGTCATGCACTTCTGCCAAACGGCTATGGCAAAGGATTCTAGAAGCCCAACAAGAAGACTCACAGGGTCAACAACCGCACGTCAAAATTACACAAGCCACAAGACACCACTCTCACCTATCTATACCACGCGTTTGCCCTGATGCTATATACGCCCCTGGACTCCTACAAGGAATACCTGATACAAGGGATGGGGATGCATGCTATCATGGTTTCAGAGGCCCAGAAAACTGAACAATCCCAAGCTAGATCTGCAAGGGTTCGGGGCGTCAGGAGCCCGGCTTTTTCGCATCTCTCAGAGCAACATGTTTTGTTGATACACCCTTGAATTATTGCTATGGCTACGCTGCTGCAAAAACGAGCTTTGAAAGCTTCTGCCACCTTAATGTCACGACGTCGCGAATCTGATAAGTAGTGCTCTATACTTTGGGTACTGCCCCCACCCAGTAACAGTCTATATTAGGGTTCCTATTAAGGGCTATATATAACCATATTATAATTATTATCCAACTGTTACTGGGGGACGCAGTACCCAATCTATACTCTATACTATGAGCCTCAACCACAAATGCTCACACCCTCAACGTTTGAGCCCCTAAACACGTAGCAGTGAAGCTTGAACTGGGCTTGAAGTGTGCGGCTTTGTGGGGGGGTCTCTGAAGTCTGGGTCCCGCAAAAGGGAGCAGACAAAAGAAAAATCGAACTCCTGATCGACTGAAATATCCTTAGGTTTAGGTGGTGCTGGGGCTTTCACTCCATCCAATTCATCATAGCGCCCTCTCCAGTATCAGTCTGAAGTCTGAAGGCTCTTCTGTTGGCATTGGTCCAATCACCACCCCTCAGCGGCCTACTCTGACACCGAGACAGTGGGAGGAGCTTTCGGGCTCTCAATTCCTCTAGTCCCCTCTAGGCCGGCGTAAACAACATAAGTTATGTTGGGGATAATGGAACAGAAAATGGAAACTACTATATTAAAATAGGGTATGTATCGGGGTTATATGAGCCATAATCTAAACTTCTTGTATCGCCCTTGATGACTCTCTGGTCCCTTACGTAACCCCCTTTAAGGAGTTTAGATTATGGGTCATATCGGGTTAATGGAAAAGAAAGCGGAAACTACTATATATTAGGGCATCAAATGTTCATAACCAATCCGTTGGGTCCACGGCACACGGTGGGGGGTTTAGTGTTGAGGAGGTAGAGGTCCTATTCAGCCTCCAAGCCTCCACTACCATCCTCGAGGAATTCACAACAAATTGTGGGGAAGGCTTAGCGGAATTTAGGTTTCCAGATTCCCGAAGTTGAGGGTTGGGACTTGGGCTCATAGCCCCCTCTTAGAACGGTAGCCTTCTGGCCATGCCCCTTACACACTAACGCTTACCACCAGAAATACCGCGAGTTATGACCCCTCTATAGACAGTTATTGTAAAGGGACCCCGAAAACCTGAGGATGTAGGCTGAGTTTTTAGGATTCATTTAGATGTTCGAACTTTGGGCATTTGGAAAGTCTGAGTACAACTCGCACATGGTCTTAACAAATGAGGACTCGATGTAGAGAGACCCCTCAGCGCCTCCTGAGTAAAGCGTACTTGGAGGTTCACTGGAATCAAAAAACTTATTACATAAGTCAGATTATGGCCGCAGTTGTGGGTAGTTACTTAAGATCTTCAACACAGGCCCCTAAATCTAAACCCTCCATTCTAAACCTAAACCCTATATGACTGCCTGACCTTCCGAGGGTCCCTGTAGTAGGGTCTGCTTAGGGTTAATAGGGTACTTCGAAGGGCTTCCTTGTGATGAAGCTACCACACCCCATGCAGCGCTGTCCTCGCCCAACTTGCCCAGTGCAACCGCTGCTGCTTCCCGGACCTGGCAAAGCATGAAGCCCCTGGGAATATAATGGGCATATAGGGATATACAGAGGTATGTAGGGACAATATGACTCTAGATTGGGTACTGCCCCCACCCAGTAACAGTCTTCAGGGCTATATATAACTATATTTTAATTATTATCCAACTGTTACTGGGTGGGGGCAGTATCCAAACTCTAGGGTTTAGGAATGAGGGGAAGCTATTGCTTAGAGCTCAGCATGTGGAATTTTGGAGTTTGGAACCTGAACCGGATACCTCGTGGACTTCTGTGAAGAAGGGGCTATCGGCCGTTGCATGTTACTTTGGGGGAGGGCGCAATGCTAGCCTTTAAACCCTAAATCATTATGAACCCAAGGGAGGTCTAAGCCCGAACAGTAACCACTCAACCCAACACGCGGTTTAGAGTTTAGGGCTTAGGGTCTAAGAGCCCTTGGGGGAGGGGGGCGAGAACTTCATCTGGCAGTATAACAACCAACACTGACCTGATGCTTAGCGGGCTCAGAGTCGACGAGATTGGGATTTTGAGACTGCAGGGCTTACCTCAATGAAGTACGGGGTTCATATAGGGATAATGGAAAAGAAAATGGAAACCCTAGGTCCCTTTAAAGGGATATATAGGGTGATATAGGGGTTTTATAGG